AAGAGACAGAGACTTCTACAAATTAGAAGCCAGACGGGCAGCAAAGACTAGGGTCGCCCAGACCAAAGTCATAGACGCCCTGAAATTGAAAGTAGAGGATCTCCACGTCCAGTGCAAAAAGAGTTCGCTACTGGAAGAGCAATTAAGCGTCGCAGAGCAGCAGTGGGACAAGATGAGGAAAGAGAGGAACGCTTTCATACTGAGGGCCCAAAAAGCAGAACGCAGTAGGGCGAACATACAGATGGAGAGGGATGCTCTCAAACTCGAAGTAAAAAATCTTAGATCCAAGATTAACGATGTACATGAAAACGTTACTAAACGTTACAAGTGAAGAATGCGACAACATCGTAAAACGAGAGATTCTTCAATTCTCGAAGTCCACCAGATGGGAATGGATATAGAGCCCACAGAGGACTCCGACGAAACTGCCCTACTGGAAGAGCAATTAAAAGTTCTAAGAGAAGATTACGACAAAAGCGCGAAAAACTTTCTTCAATTCTCCAAGTCCAACAGATGGGAACGGATATAGAGCCCACAGAGGACTTGGACGATTCTGCTCTACTGGAAGAGCAATTCAACGTCTTAAGAGAAGTCTACGACAACATCACAAAAGAGATTCTTCAGTTCTTGAAGTCCAACATAAAAATTTGCGTACTCTTTTTAATACTGGAGTCCAAAGTACGGCAGCGGATACAGAGGCCGTAGAAGGAATAGGGTCGCCCTGGAGATTATCATTATTTTGAACATTTTATATGGATTATATAAGTCATTTAATTTGAATTGTTAATTTGTATTGCTCCTTATGCATTGTAATGCTTTTTCTAATATAGTACATCCTCTGATTGTATATGACTGAAACATGTGAAGGTTTTCTTAAAATGTAATAGATATAATGAAATAAAATTCAATTACTTGAGTGCACTGCATTTAATTGCTCTTCGGCAGACCAGATTATGACGGAGACTGCGCCTCTGGTCATCATCCCAGTAGTCTCCTTGATGACGGCGATGCCAATAATAGGCACATCGACATTGGAGATGTGCATGACGAGACTGGGATACAGAACAAGGCCATTATCTAAATCTTCGCGAGAATGATGTCATCAGACTCAGGTTCCTGGTAGAGAAGTCTGATTGCATACCTTATTGTAATGCAGTTGGTACGTGGTACGTACTGGATACGCAACTGTAACAACCAGGGCCCGGATTCTGATGTCATGTGATCTTTTTTTCTTTGTATCCTATGCGAAGCTCTTAAACATATAAATCTCGGAAATGAGCTGCTGGTTACAGAAATGTAAATTTTATAGGTAATTTTTTGACATTTTTATGTTTAAGGCCATTTTTTTCATATTTTGGTAAATTTTTGGACTTTTAAGGGTATTTCTTGTGATTTTCGGCCATTTTAGGGAATTTTTCTTCATATTTTTTTCCGAAATGTGAATAACATGGAAGCGAAGTGTTCTTTGTCTTCTACTTTTGGTCATTTTTCTGGAATTCGTCAGTCATTCTATAGGTCATTTTTTAATATTTTCAGGTCATCAAAATCCGGGCCCTACTAATAACATATGAAAGAAGGTCTTGAAAGTTTTAAGTTCCTTACTTTTACTGAGTGTCCGCGGGTCATTTACAGTCCCGTTGGTTACAATTACAGCTTCCGCGTAAGCAATGTGTCACTGTGTATCTCAGATCTAGGTTTATTGCGGTGAAATATTGCTGAATTGTTTGTTATAGGTACCTATTAATAGCTCTTCAGTCTGTGATTCTCCCTAAATGTCAAGAGACCACTTTCCACACTCATAGAGAAACACAGGTAAAATTGTAGTATTGTATATTTGATTTTTATATTTTAGACTGAAGGTGAGAAAACAGAAGTTCTTGGGCTAAAGATAGCATTACCCGAGTTCAATAACATCTTAATTTCCTCCTGAATCAAGATTTTATATGTTATAGTCATTTCCAAATATCTGAACGGTGCCACAATTTTTAAAACATTTGTTACCTATCTTTATGTTCTGAATTGCCCTGCATTCTGGTGACGAGACAGCAACATATACTTAATTGTCTCTGTGTTTATTTCTAGACAAACCTCCTTACAAACGTCAATAAAAGTTGCTGCGTTTTTCTTTATGGTATATATATTATCAACCAGTAGATTCACATCATCGGCGTAGACCAACAGCTGATGTGTCCCGTTTAATTTCAGTCCCACCTGGCTTTCCTAGGCCTTACTAAAGACACATTCTAAAGCAAAGTTAAAAAGAGTGGCGGTAAAGCATCTTCTTGTTTTAGACCATTCTGGATAAGAATATTACCAGACAAATATTTACCCATAGAGACTTTTAATATAAGTTTCGTTTACACGCATTTTAATCGCCTAACTAGGCACAAGAACCACGTGAAATTTGAAAAAATCAATTAAAGAACAGAAAATAAATTTAACGTTTCAATAATATAAAAGTACCTACACATAAACATATAGTGTAAATATGTTGTATTTTTTTTTCAGTGAATGTGTCATGTTGTATATCATATACTATTTCTTACTGAAAACTGTCACACACAACAATCAATAATACAGAAGTATTCTTTTTCTCTGTCGTCTGTGGCGACGGATTTAACGGCGATCGCTGCATAAAAATAAAATCATGTTCAGATCGACAACCTCTTGATGGACAGCAGAAAAGAGGGCACATAAGTCTACTTGAAATCCTTATTCTCATCATTGGATTCTGTGATACTGATAATAACTGTTGCTTTTAAAACGCAAATTCGTTCGACATTAAGATAACAATAAACGGAAGAAATAAAATGAGGGCGTAAATTTATGGCTGTCATAGCGGTTTTTCAGAAGTGCTGTACCATCTTCTATATGGCAATATTTCTTTTTCCGTTAGTCAACGGACAATGAACATTTACATGTTTCAATTATTACCAAGGTGTAAGCATGAAGCAAGCATAAATGTCACGTGAAGCAAATAGAATCAGAACTTCCACCACATACGATGCGGATTGCTCCCTTATATCTGAACCACGAAACATGCTACCACACCACTCACCTCTTTTCGCTTCCATGTTTTGGTGTATTATTTGAATTTGTTTTTGGCTTTCCTTTACTAAAATCGGGCATGATATAGTGCAGAATAGAGAAGCCTCGAAAGAGCTTCTTGATCGAGGATCCTTGGGATTCTTTTTTCACTGAGGTATTCATGGCATTCACTGCCGACTCCAATCTTTCCTGGCCGTCCAAATTCTGATTATCTGCAACATTTCGAATCACGGTGTAAGTAATAATATTTCAGTTTCTCCCTGTAATGAAGGACACCATAAACAATGAGCATTGCATCAGGGTAAGTGAATGATATCACACGCAATTTTGTGAATCGTAGACTCAGCACGACGCGATAAATCACCCGTTGCCAGTAAACACTTTTTCGCCGTGACGGAACAGCAGAGGAGCTGGGTTAGACAGTACTTCCCCGCTGTGACGTAACAACGGGCACTGCTTCGGCTACGGCAACAGGAAACACTATAAGAAGCCATCTGAGGACCGAGCGTGGCAGTGTGTGTTGAGAGAGAATTGTGGATGCCGACAGAAGACAGTGGTTAGCCAGCACGGAAAAACGAACAGTTTCATTGTCTAGTGAGTGTTGTTAACACGAAAGGAGCGACTGCGAAACGACTTGTTCAATATTTTGTGTTATAGTTAGGCTGCATTGTAGTTACGGCGTTGAGTAATAAACTGATGTCGCAAGAACACACTCATCCGAGTCTTGTTTCACGATACGCCATAAATGAAGTAGAGGTTCTCACATTAATGTTCTTCCTGGGATCATAATTCAAGGTGAAGGCTGATGAATCTGCTTTTCTAGTTCATGTCGAAGGCATACCTGAAACTAATACCATTCTAACTACATATTCAATTTATACAAGTGAAGCATTTGTTGTCGTGCGTTATGGACGTTACGAGAACATATTCGAATAAACTTTCTTTTTTCGTTCCTTCTGTAATATTCAACACCTCAATAATCTTACTCTCTTTTCATCCATTGTGTCCTGCTGAAATGTTATCAGTTTCGAAGTGGAAGATGGTAATATTCGAGGGTGCAAATGCATGAAGCCGAACGTAACACTCAGCGTAACACGTGTGCAACCTCTAACGTAACTCCCAATCAATTAACACTTAAGGCGTACTTTATATTAAAAGGTAAACGTAAATGAACTAATAAAGACTGGTCTATAAAAAATTGCATTTATCTATATAAATAAAGCAGTTATTTTTTGAAACAGTTAACCTAATCTTGTAGTAATTCGACGTAATTAACGATGGCTAAACCATAAGAAATGGATAGAACATATTGCGAATAAAATGCATTAATAAATATAATCTTCTCAGAAATGCAAAACCTCTTGGTCCATCTCGAGCAGGGGCGTATAGGCACCGCGGAACTGCAGCACCACCAATTTCCACTTGATATTATCGACAACATTTATATAATGAGTCCTTTTTTCTTTAATTCTTTCTTTATACTTGTACAATACAATATATAATCCTTAAGCTTAATGTCAGTAGCCAAATCTTTGTATGGAACTGTGAGTTCTGGTGCTGGTGGAAGTTTTTTTTTACTCCGAGTGTGTTGTGCTTAAAAAATATGAGTTAATTGTAGAATTAGATTATTATCCTGCTTCCAGCTATTCTATTTGATTCATTTTTCTGTTCTTATATTTAACAGAAAACTTTAACCATGGCCTTGCATCCCCGAGAAATAAGTTCTGTGACTGTAAGTGAACTTCAACAGCTTAAGTTTTCACAACCGTCTCTCCATGAGAAAGTTGCAATTAAGAAAAGAGGTCGTTTAACACCTGATATTCTAATATCTCAGCCAGGCATAAGTAAGAACAAGAACTATATTCATAGCTTTAATTCTGAATGGTACAAACGGAAAAGTTGGCTTTGCACTGTTTTGCTTCTCGTGTTTGCTGCTTGGGGGTGATGTAACGTGGACAAAAGATGGTTTTATAAATATAAACAAAATGAAAGAAAAAACTGAAAAGCATGAGAAGGCAAAGAAGCACGTTGATAATGTAGTTTCACTGCCACTTTTAGGAACCGTAAGTATTAAGGAGAAACTTAGTGAGGCGCATACAGAATATCAATCAATGAGCATAATATAAAGGTTAAAAAGAATGGATTTCATTTTTAAATGGATAGATTAAGCTTGAACTATAACAATTTAGGTTAAAGTAAGTAAAAAATGTTTGATTTTTGTTCTTTTGGGATTTTATCAAGTTTCTGGATAAATTTCCTTTTCATACATGTTTGTTTCCTTTTATACAATATTAAAAAAGCTACAAATCTTCTGCAGCAGCACTCCCACTAATTTTAGCTACGAGCCGCCACTGACTTCGAATAACATTTCAATACTCCGCTCCCCAATAATCGATTTAAAAAACTTTCAGTATCTCCTGGAATATCTAATCCGTTTCTAACTTCCATTTATATTTTTAGACGGCCGTGATATTAGACATTCACCCGTAGGGTGAGATCATCATATGTTTCAGATTGGAAGAAAAAGAAGAAGATACCTTTCTGCGGTTAAGAGAGAAATATTACGATATTTTGTTTGTGGGGAAGGGATATGCATACTCTCACATACGAGTATATGTGGAGCTGGTGAAGTTAGCCTCCATTCAACGGTAACTTTGCAGCGATTAATAATATCAGAGGTATGGAAATATGAACATACTCTACATGAAATACTTCAGTCCTCCCATTTTCCCCTGTATTTCAAATTAAGGTACTCTCCTGTTCACTAGGTTCTCGATAATAATCACTGTGATCCTTACCAAGTCTTAGAGTCCACTGTACATAACCAAACAAGACTGGGATCGCGAAATCTCCAATGAGTGAAGTGAATATCAAAGATAGTAAATGGAATGCGGGAATGCAATGCAACAGATGTGTGACGCGAATTCTATTATGGGGATAATAAGAATCACTGACTCGGTGTTAGATCCGACTTAATGTTGAAGAATGGAACACGGTTGTGGTTTCGGAAAGTAATTAATACACACCTCTTCTATGCATTTCGCTCTCTACTCCTGTATTCTCCCTTTTCCCGGGCGTTGAATTGATAACAGAAGTCTTCATTTTCTCTGTCATCTGTTGCGACGGATTTAACGGCGATCGCTGCATAAAAATAAAATCATGTTCAGATCAACAACCTCTTGATGGACAGCAGAAAAGAGGGCACATAAGTCTACTTGAAATCCTTATTCTCATCATTGGATTCTGTGATACTGATAATAACTGTTGCTTTTAAAACGCAAATTCGTTCGACATTAAGATAACAATAAACGGAAGAAATAAAATGAGGGCGTAAATTTATGGCTGTCATAGCGGTTTTTCAGAAGTGCTGTACCATCTTCTATATGGCAATATTACTTTTTCCGATAGTCAACGGACAATGAACATTTAAATGTTTCAATTATTACCAAGGTGTAAGCATGAAGCAAGCATAAATGTCGCGTGAAGCAAATAGAGACCAAGTTCCACACCCATACAGAACCGCAGGCAAAATGAAGGCATGTCGCATATTCAAGTCACGGATGGAGGAGACGTCCTCCAGGTTTCGAGGGAAGCTGCAAATATATTGAGTAAGCAGTGGCGGAGAGCCGACAAGGGTGGTCCTCCAGCTTGGGGGTTGAGCGTGGGGCTTAAATATCACCACAGTATAAAATAATTCAATTACGAAAAGAACATAGCGGAGGATCACGGGATTAAAAGTTTCTGAATAAGTTACTGAGGAGAATATTTGCATCGAAGGGTGTCGAAGTAGAGTTATTTAATGAGGAGCGTCATTACATTCGAAAAATGTAGGTACAGTGACTTAGTAGAGAGAAATTGATGAGCAGGATATGTAGCATGAATGTATGGTAATTTTTTGTAAGATAACCAGAAGGAGAGAACCCATTACGAAGACATAGACGAGAGGTGGCAGGAAATATTAAAATTAATCTAAGAGAGATAGCATGGGGTGGTCAGCCTTGGGTAGTGAGCAGTGAATATGCACAATTAATATTTTGGCTCAATGACATTTTGGAAAGTTCTTTAGTAACTGCGCAACTGGAGGCTTCTGAAGAACAGCTCAGCTCCATGGAGTTATTAAAACTATTAATTGTATTAATACTGTTATTATTAGACGAGCAGGGATTTCCATATATCTTACAGCGACAGGCTGCGTGCTGGACGGACATTCTCCAACCCGTCATAGAAGGATTTTTGTTTTCTCCACTGTATTCAAACCGAATCTTGAGCACGCCCAGCCTCCTACCAAAAGACCAACACCTGGGGCAAGACAGGAGAGGCCTGTACTTTTATCAACCATCTACTATTAATGGTGAGGCAAGAGGTTCTATTATTAAAATTATTATTGTTATTATTATTATTATTATTATTGTTGTTGTTAATATTATTATTGTTGTTGTTGTCACGTGCAGGGATGGTACGCGTGACGAAATGACGGTTTCTATTTCGGATGATTGGAGTTACTAACGCCTTAGTTACAAGATCTCTTGCAGCTTCCGTAGGCTAGGGGTAACGTTTCCACCTCCTGACTCAAGGTACGTGGGATCAAGGTCGTGGAATTTTTAAGGGCGGAAAAATTCAAGGAACAATTCCTCCGGAAGGGACTTCAAGCCGTGGGGTCCCGTGTCGTAGATTTACGGCACGTAAACGAAACTCATGTATCTAGGAGACCTCTGGCGAAATTATTGGTTAACTTTCCCGCCCAAGTAGTTTCCAATGCCTCTGGTAGATGGGGAAGTATCAAGGTATCGGGTGCCGACCTCGTTGGCTCAACGGGGCTGATAGCACGCGCCGTGTACCGGTAGGGGATGGGGACAGTAGATATTAAAGGGGGACGCACAGTAGACCAATACCTGGTCTAAGTGCATGGGGAAATCCACCCCTTCAATAATATTGATAATAATAATAATAATAAAACATCACTTAATTAAAACTCAAATTGAAGGCATTACAGCGCTATCCCTAATTTATACATACTACATATTTCACTGTTGCACGCACACACTTGTCCTCAACACAGACACTACCGCTTCAAATCACTCCAAATATACAGGTCTTCAAATCACACTTTAAATCTTCACATCTCTTCTGCGAACTTCCCGTTTTTGTCACCTAAAATCTCTCTCAATATTACTTACACACTTAACACTCAAACACTCTGGAATACTCTGAAACCCTCTGAAATACTAGGACATACAGCCTTTGGTACTCCTCATTATACAGCTTCCGCACCGACCACGCACAGAAAACAGCCTATATTGTTTCCAGCAACGTTGCTTAGCAACAGAGAAAACGCCGTAGTTCTCTTGTTGCTTTGCGTGTATTCGGTCACGAGGGGTTTAACGGTCAGTTACCTAACAACAGTCTCTACACAAAGTAGAGCTTGAAAGCCGGAATAATTCAGCCAGAAGCGTAGGTCGTTCCTAGGCAACGGCTACGTAAACACATTCTCCAGCATGGAATAACACGTACAAATATAACGGCTGGGCCCCGTGTATTCTGTGTTGTGTGCATCTCAAGGTTCACGAGATATTATGAATTAAAAGCTTTTGGCTCGTACTATATAAGTCGAAACCTGACAGGGTCCTGGTATCCCTACTGCCATGTTCTATGTTATCGCCAATCTTTCTCAGTAAATTAGCGAAGAGTGACAAGATTAGACACACGCCTTTCCTTCCGTATTATCTCCAATTCATCATTCATCTGTCATATTTGTATGGGAAGATACACATTATTAAAATCTTAATATCGTCAAATCACCCACAGAAAAAGAACCAAGGAGAAGCTACTTCAATATCTCTGAATACCAACTTTAAGATACCAACCACCCCGAAGACAGCCCACGGAGATACGGCAATCATAATCAAAGAAAAATCGAACATCATGAACTACCAAAATATGAAAGACATCACATACAAGCCACTTTCATCAAAGTCAAAACATTTCCTTGCGATTTCCAAGTTTCCTGAGGGTGATATGAATTTGCGTATTGGTTGTGATGCTGATATGAGCTAGCTTTTGTTTCTTATTGGTTTTCAGATGGAAGTGTCTTGTTTTGTGAGGCTTGCGATATAGTCCTGGAATGATTCGTTCTTTAATTCTTGTAATTTGCGGTTTTAGGTTATTGCTGATTTTGTTGTATTTTCTTGTTTTCCGGAGTGTGACTCCTCTGCCAGGTTGATCCAGCTCTCCCCTTTCCGGCTATTAATTTTTTATTCTTAACGGTATGTTATTTGTAGGGTTCTTTATGATTATTCATAAGGGTTGCTGTTTTGGCGGCTTCTTGTATTAGGGTGATAAAGATTTTACATTTGTTTCTTGATTTTTAGTTCTGTGTTTTCTTGTAATATTTTCCAGAAGAGATTCCAGTTTGTTTTCTAATGGTGAAGTCTGGGCTTGGATTTCCTTAATATAACTGATGTGCTTATTGTTCCAATGATGGGAGTGGGGTCCGAAGTTTGGTCAAGATTTGCAGTTGCGTTTGTGCAGTTAGGAGAGATGCCTTTTGTTATGGAGAAATCTAGTAAGTCAGGAATTTTATTTTCATCGGTGGGCCAGTATGTTGGTGTTCCAGTTGATATGATAGAGTATGTGTTATTTTGGATTGTCTTATGTAGTTGTCTGCCTTTAGTTGTTATGAGTCTTGAGCCCCAAGATGTATGCTTGCTGTTGTAATCTCCGCCAGCTATAAATTTTGTACCTAGTGTTTGGAGGAATGACTCGAAGTGGTTTCTCGTGATGTTATATCGAGGAGAACAATAGACCGCGGAAACTTGGAAAGCGCAAAACAATATTCTGTGGCAAAAAATACAGAATATTCGGCTTACAACATGCACCAAGCATTGGATCGTGTATAAGCATCCATACAATGGCATTGGTGCTGCCTGAAGATATGTGGCATGTCTCACAATCGTCAAGAACAGTCAAACTCCGGGAATCTCGCACACAATTGTACTGTGTTTGTAAAGTGTACATGTCTTCCATTGCTTTCTTCAATTGGGTTCAAAGAGGGTTGACCGGCAATAAATAAAAACTGTAACTTCTTAACCTACAAAAATTCTAAAACGCTTATTTCGAACTCTTACCTCAATATCGTAACATCGGAGGTAATAGCTAACACCAGAAGCCGTAAGAAAGGCCAATTCAACTTCAAACGTTTAAATTACGATGTAGGGGCAAAATACTACCTGCTCTAAGTTATATTTCCCACCATCACGCATATCCATTTGTCCAAATTTATCAGCGCGACTCACTGTACTACACGGGTTACTAAGTATAAATAATTCGACTGTAGCGAATTATGGTAGGAGTCAGTTACCTACAGAAGACTAGAATGACTTTATGCGACTTAAAAACACTGGTACAATATATTAGCTTTATTTAGTTCGAAAACTAAAGGTAACTATTTCTCAGCACCTCGATAAACACGATGCATGAAGAGTATCCAGAGAAAGTAATAGCAGCATTCTTATTCATATTGCGCTTCTTCCTGCGTTATGACGCTCTAATCTTAAACGTGCGTACATACTATTCGGTCAAACATGTTGCTTCACATCTTCAGGGCAGAACTGAACTGGAAGATGGAAGCAATATGTTCTACCGACCTAACAGGAGGCCACATCACATAAGATTACCTTTTCGGCAATCACAGTTTTCCTTTATTGCCCTCAGCATTTGTTAAGCATGACTCACAAGAAAGAATGTAATGAAGTAATGTAAAATGATTAATTTAAATCCTAGTTACCACGGTATAAGCAGCAATATGATGTAATGACTACAAATACTGTCCTGTACTTGAGCCAGGATAGATCCATCAGTACTGGGGACGGGGATAGATTCGTGACAGGGCAAGAGATTTTCTCTTCTCCACAGCCATGAGACTACCTGTGGGGCCCATCCAGCATCCTTTCCAGTGGATACTGTGAGATATTTTTCTGAGGCATGAGGCTGGTCACATCTCTATCTAGTGCCTAGGTCAAGAACAACCCCCCCCTCCATATGCCTACATTGTGAAAGGTAAAGTTGTCCCTGTTCTTAATTAATTAAGCACTACGCCATGAAAGCGTATGGGGAATGGGTGTATAGATCCACATTT